GTCTGCCGCCGGGATGATGCAGTTGATGGAGGGTCATCGTTGGCAAGGGAGGCTGTGCGGTGGCTAGAATAGAGGGAGGCAGCTTGGTCAAAGGAATATAATGATAAAGGTGTCCAAAGTTTTGTTTTTTTTTTTTAAAGGAGAAAATAGAGATAAAATTGTATATACTGGTATATATTATATAACCTTGTAGTTTATAGTTTAGTATATAATGAGAACTATATATTCATCATACTGTATATTATAAGATTAAAACAAAAAATCTATTATATAAAAGTCGTATTATATAATCTAACAGTTTAGTATAAACTAATAAAAAATATATATTATATAAAATTTTGGAGGAGTATATATTTATCATATTATTAAAAAAAACGTCGTAAAAAAATAATATATGCCGGAAAATTCAGACAACAACTGCATCTAACAGTTTAGTATAAACTAATAAAAAATATATATTATATAAAATTTTGGAGGAGTATATATTTATCATATTATTAAAAAAAACGTCGTAAAAAAATAATATATGCCGGAAAATTCAGACAACAACTGCTGAAAAATTAAACAATAATAAATTTAGAAATATAAAAAAGTATATGATTGCAAAGAATAAATACGGCAGGTGGAGAGGATTGATAATGAGAATTTTTATTATAAATGGAATGATTTAGAAATTATTATTTGATAAAAAAATAGGAGAATAAATTGGAGGGCTACAAGGATTAATTTTTAAAAATATGAATATATGAGAAATCCAAATTTAGAAACTTTTAATGAAAATCAAGTTCAATCATTTAAATAAAACACAAATTGGATTTTTTTTTTAAATAATGTTTTTTTTAAATAATGTAGCTTAGAAAATATTTTCAAAAGTATAATAGTGAAATCGCAGTTAATGGCTGCCAAGTTGGAGCCAATGTACTTATGAAAATCGCATGCGATTTCTGCAGGGTTGGTTGTTTTTTTGTTTTTGGTTGTTTTGTTTTGTTTTTTCCCTTCTTCCTTTCTTCTCATGGTTCTTATTCCTTTCTGTATGTACCAGCTTTTGCAATTTTCTCAAGACTATTTAAGGTTTTTAACTTTTATTATTTATAGTTTTACAAGTTACTCAATTTACAAATTTATAACTCCTAAGAATTTCAATTACGATTATATTCATCGCGGTAGGAATTGAGTTCAAGCTTTTTCAGTCACTTCTCATCAATGGACTCCTAACATATACCAAGGAGTGCGGTTCGTTCGATAAATTCCTACCTCTCTATCTACCTTTGAGATATTATATATAATTTTCATTTTTACAAATTTTAATTTAGAGTTTAAATGTTTAGGATTTTTTTAAAATATATTTTTTAAACCTATTTTCTATTTTCTATTTAGATTCGAAAATTTAGTAAGATTTGTTTTCGAAATTATTTTAGAAATCTTTTGAATGTAATTTGGTCAAAGGTAATCTTTTGATTTTAAAATTAAACTAAATCTAATAATCAAATAAAAGTGGTATAAATTAAATCAAGAAAATTTTAATTTTAATTTGTCATTTTACCTAATTGTTAATTTAAGAATATTTTCCCTGAAAAAAAATTAAGAATATTTATGTAATTAAATACTTATGTGTTTTTACGAGAAAATCTCTCAAATGTATTCTAACTTAGTTCAGATTTAATTAGCTAATTTGATTTGGTTTGAACGAAAACAATTTTTTAGATAACTTCAAAACAAATAGTTGGAATTTGTAATGGGTAGCATATAAGTTTTCTATATTTAACAAAATAGCATGTCTTTTTGATATTTTCAAATATAGCATTTTTTTTGAAAATCTTGATTTTAAATTTTTCAATATTCCCAAATTACCCTTTTCAGTTATCGCTTCGTTAATATATATCAAACATATATCACATATATATCAGGAATATATCTGACAACATTAGTATATCAGAAGTAAATCAATAGTATATCAGGTTCTATATCAGTTGTATAATAGTAAATCACTATTTTAGCTCCTTTAACCCTTTGTCTTGTATTTTTTTTTTGATAAATTAGAAATCAGTAGGTATTGGCATGCATGGAAAATGAGAAAAAAATTTGATACTTACTGAAAATGAGAAAGAAAACTTGAAAAGAATGTGAATGTGAACGTCAAATGGTGATTTTTGAAATTACTGTGAATGAGAAATCAATTAGAAATTAGAGGTAAATAGAAATTTAGGGTTTTCCTATATATCAATAATATATCAAGTATACATCGTACATATATTAATAATACAATTAAGTTTTATTTAAAATTTTAAAGATCAAAACGAAATCAACAACAATATCATTCTTAAAAGGTTTAAACATCATTCTTGGGTATCAACATCAACATCAAATCAGCAGCAAAGTCATTCAACCAAAAATTTAAAAGTTTAAACATCAAAACAAACCAGCAGCATAAACCAAAAGTAGACTAACAATGTTATTCTTAAAATTCTATAAAAGGAGAAGCATAAGTTCCAACAGTCTAGAAAAACGGAAGTTTCATTCTTGTATAATCTTTAGGTAAAAGCTTGGGACATCAATTTTCGTTCTTGGTGATTGTCGTGTCTTCGGAGATAATATCTTTGAAGTTTTCCGTTTTTCCATAGACAACACTTTTGGCGTTGGTTTATGTTGTCTTTTGGGACAAACGATATCAACATTTTCGACAATGTTTTTTTTATTTCATTTTTCGTGTTTGTACCATTGCTTTTATTTGAAAAAAAAAATTATTTCATATATTAGTAGTCTATCACGAAACATATATTAGAGGTAATATGTTCGAAATAATTGGTAGATATCATAGTTATATCAGAAGTAAATCAATTTCATATCATATGTATATCAAACATATATCACATATATATCAAGAGTATATCTGTCCATCATAGTTATATCAGAAGTAAATCAATAGTATATCAAAAGTCAATTAGTTTTATATCACCTATAGTAGTAGATATCATAGTTATATCAAAAGTAAATCAATTTCATATCATATGTATATCAAACGTATATCACATATATATCAGGAGTATATCTGTCAATCATAGTTATATCATAAGTAAATCAATAGTATATCAGAAGTCAATCAGTTCTATATCATCTATAGTAGTATATATCATAGTTATATCATAAGTAAAGCAATTCTATATCAGATGTATATGAAACATATATCATATATATATATATCAAGAGTATATCTGTCAATCATAGTTATATCATAAGTAAATCAATAGTATATCAGAAGTCAATCAGAAGTAATTTATTGTTGGTCCGGGCCTGCAGGGTATACTTGTAATTTAGAACGTGGACCTCCATTTTTTTGCAAAAAAAAAAAAAATGCTATATTTGAAAAACTCAAACCTTGTTACTATTTTGCTTATTTTCCTAACTTTTTTTTTGTGATATGTCAAGTTGCCCTTTTAGTTAATTTATGCTTGACATTGACCACCGTATCCTATTTCTGGCCATAATTTTCATAACTACTTAAGTTTTGAAAATTTTATTTAATTTACATTTTTTTTTTCATTTTACTTTAAAAAGTCTACATTGTTTTTGGAAAAGCGAGCAAGCTCCATTAATTTGCATGTATCTCAAACCAAAAGATTGTGAGTTCGATTCCCACCCCTCATGTTGTACTAATAAAGTCTATATTATTTTTTTAGTTTGTTTTTAAATAACATTATTCTTAAAATTTCAAATCTCGAAACCTAAATATGTAAAATTTTAAAATGCAAGTCACTTGTGAAATATAGTTTCTAATATGACCTACGAAAGACAATTCTTCTAAAATTTATGGAACATATTTGGAAAAGAGACTCCCAGGGAATTGAAGACGTACTCCTTGGACACCAGTATACTTGAAGACTTCGAAGATTAAGACTTTGGTCTAAACTTGAGAATAAGTGTTCTCATCTCTCGAGTCAAGTTCACGTCCAAGAGAAAGAAATAGAGGACTATATACTAGAGATTAGATATTGTATATACCACACAAAGTATATAAAATTAAGCTCACAACTCCAAGAATCTAACAACTCGTTTGATAACGTTCTCGTTTCTTGTTTCCATTTCTTTTTTTGTTTAATAAAGAAAATATAATTGCATGACCTCAAGATTCATAGATTCAAGGACGATAAAGAAAAATCTTTATTTACGTTGAAACAAATTAAAAACGGGAACAATAAACAAGAAACTTATTTTTGTTGTTGTCAGAATTTCTATACAATTTTGAGAATGTTCATACAAAATGCCTACATACTTGTAAATTGTTTAGATTTCTTAATAAAATTGTAAACGAGAAATAAGAAATGGGAATGTTACCGAACATGCCCTAGGTTTCTCCAAAAATCTCGTGTGGACACCCATATTTTATTATTAAAATATTGAATCAGTCGGTCCATCCTTTCAAATTGGAAGCATTTTTCTAAAAGAGTAGTTTGTGCTCATAATTTATTGGAATTGAAATGTGAAAGAATGGAAGTATACAACACGCATGAAATTTTGTGGAATTGAAGGATTCAAATTCAAGGACGTGTTGACTCAAAATCAGCCCATTTTCATTACAAAATTTGATCAAATAATTGTGTTCCCATTTCTAATGCTTCTCAATTTCAATTTGGATTCTCTTCTTTTTTTTTTTTTTTTCTTTTTGTTTTATGTGTAATGATAGAATAATTCCACTCAAATGACTTGACTTTACTATAATACCAATCCTAAAAGGGCCAAAACTACTTTGTAAACAATTTAATTCATAATCATAGACATTACATGGAGGAAAGATGAATTAGTCCATTTTAATTTTGGACACTGATTTTGTGGTTTTGTTGCATAATTTGTGATAAAATTTTTGCTTTTAACCTAAATCTCAAACCTTCAACACACATGACTTTATCTATCGCGAGTCGACTCCAACCTTAATATATAAGAGTTCACTCTTGAGCTCGAGTTATGAAGACCAAAATGAAATAGGCGCGACGACAAGAAGCAAGAGATTTGAACCAAAAAGGTATTATTAGAATTTGGAGTCATAAATACAAAATAATTAAGTCATGAGTCTCAATTACACTAATTAACAAAACCCAAGAGAGCAAAAGGAAATTAGTTTTGAAGGCTAATTTCCCCTCTCAGCCCTCTCTCACTCATAATATTACAGCAGCATCTTCTCTATAGTAAAAGAAAAATAAAAAATTAGATGAAGTTAGCCAATTGAATTAGTATTACACTAATGTCATCAACTGAGCCTCTTGCAAGAGATAGCTCCACAAGCTTTTTGCAGGCCACCAATGGCTCTGCCTTCTCAATCCCCACCATCAATGGATGGGCAATGTCCACTGCTTCTTGATTCCCTACTGTTTCCCATAACCCGTCCGAGGCCAGGATCAAGAACTCGTGTCGAGGCTCGATCGGGAACGACCTCGTCTCGGGCTCGGCTATCACCCATTGTTTGAGGTGGGCATCCCCAATCCCTCTTGTTACAGCCAGAGATCCCTGGACTCTCCAAACGCCATTGCACAGATCAACATATCCACCCTGCAGAGGCAAAAAACACAGAGATTGAGTTTCACTGTCATTTCAAAATTGAACAATGGCAGAAGAATGAATTGTTGTCCGTCTGTCTTTGGTTCGGATTCTTACCGTGGACTCGATTCTGTGCCTTTCGTCTTTGCGGGCTGGGCGGTGGTCGGAGGTGATGGCCTCTGCGACGCCCTCGCTGCTGAGAACGGCACGGCAGTCACCAGCGTTGGAGATGACGAGGTTGCCTTTCTGGATTAGGGCTGTCACACAACAGGAGCCACCGAGGTGATTCTCCTTGAGGAAATCAGAATCTGTGGTGAGGTAGCCATGCTTAATGGCCTGCTCAAAATCTCTCTCGTTTTCAGACATTCTTTCCAGTTCATTCAAAATGTTTCTCTCCAAGTTATTTGCTGCAAATTCTGCAGCTTTTGCACCCCCATGTCCATCAAATACACCAAAAAACGCCTGAAAATTCAATAACAAAAACAGAAATATGAGTCCAAAATCAAACATCCTCCTCGTGGCTCTTCTTTCTAGTTTCTAAAATTTACACGCAGCCCAAAAACAGAGATGGGGTTTATTCTCAATTTTCAGTATTCAATTTCAAACCCTAGATGCTAAAATCGAAAATCTCCATAAATTTTAGTACCTCTTTAGAGTGTCCTTGGAGATCAACGGCGGCGGAATAGCGATCTTCCATGGCGATTCTCCTCCTCCCTCTCTTGCAGTACACAGAATAGCCATCTCTCTCGGCCTCCACCACCTCCCTGAACGACGACGGTGACGGCTGAA